TAGCGAGCAATGTTTAGACTTCATGCATCCTTCGTTCGGATAATTCGAACGATAGTGACTCACCGATGAGCAGGTAAGAATGACGTAGTCGGAACGAATACCTTGGTAGCGATGCGGCCGCGACTCTAGCAAACGGTGCACGACTGCGAAATCTGTCCTGTTGAAATATTCCCCTCCAAAGTGGCCCCAGGACCGTATCAACAGACGACTTGCATCGTGTTCGCATGCTGTCGCGCCCGGACCAAGCGAAAATGATGGGTCAAATCGTCCGTTAACACAATCTTAGGGTCCAGTTTGGAGGCGAATCAGCCGTACACCATCTGAGCTGCAGTTTGAGCATTTTCTCAGTTAGGATCCTAAGATTACTCCCACGTGAGATCCCATATGTCCAGATTTGCTGGACGCTGTCTTTGGCAAGAAAGGAGACTTACTTACCACAGTCATTTGCAACGAGTTATACACTATTGATTGCTATAAAAACGCTGACATCTATTCTGCTATGAATATTTCGCGACTGGTTATAGAAAGAAGTCATAACCGTTATATTATCTAGACTTGCATTTTTTGAATAGCTGTAATCAAGGTTGTTCACCGCACTGCACTTTTAACATAAATAACGATATTTGGAAACAAGATTGACAATGTGTGGTTATACAGTCTTGAGGTGTAGATTCAAAAGAAGCCAATTTACAAGTTCGACTAACCCCTAAAACTAGGCACAAAACCTCTTATCTCAAAACCTCCTTGGCGGAAACCTAGAAGTTCTTTTAGAACTTCGAATCTCTATTTTGGTGTCTAGACATGCTGATCCTGTCCAAAGGGAGTATAGGCATCCAGAGATGTTAGGATTGTGAGAAATTTGTATTCATTCTGCTGTGGACTTGCTCATTTGTGGCAAAAAGCAGAAGCGGAACTGGTGAAGTCGCTCTTCGATATGGGAGAGGTGCAACTATTGAAGAAACTATTGTTGAAAACTAGGTGATAATTATTGGGTGATGCGCATGGTGGTTTTTGTGCTGGCTAGATGCTTTCTAGTATAATCTATCATTGAAAAAGGTGAACTTAGCTAATCGAAAATGAATGAAGCAAAATCCAGCAAACGTCCAGCAAGTCCTACACCTAATTGAATGAAGCGCGCCTCCCGATTTATCCCAGTTCAAAGTCGAATGACAAGTTTCTGTAGAAGAAAGCTAAAGTTGACAGTAAATATGATAATTGATAACTCATGTAAGCGCTTGACAACAAAAGTAGCACTTGTGATTTAAAAAATTTCATACTGCGCGAAACCGGTTTTTGTCATATCTGTCCATGTTCGTCTCAATCCAAGATGGCCATTTGATCAAAACGTCGGCTCCGAAAGGCCATTCTTTACTTTGAAATATGACGGTTACCGTGTATCCGCTCATCGTGGAGTAGCCACCAGATCGTGAGGACGAGCGGTAGCGATCATAAGTCGATGGCATCTAAACAAGTGGTGGAAGAGCATCCAAAACATCGCTAGCAGAATGCGGCCCACCTCGTATTCGTACGGAGTGTGAAGATCGCGTACATAGCTGTCCACACGAGACAGACGACCAGCACCAACGTACAGATCAGGGCGTGAGCTGAAGTGCCTTTATGAGCGCGAGACGGGGCCTGACGAAAAAGGACTTACTAGCTACGTGAAAGTGGAGCGTCGTATATCGATGTGCGCGAAGCATTACGAGACAATTCGCCATTTTTGGATCCGGAGTATTCCAGGAACGAGATGAACGAACCACTCCGAGAAGGTGGTCTGCTGTACTCGCGTGATGGTGGCGTCGAATACTCGCGAGTGCGCTGCGGAGCGGGATACTGTGACGAATACCTGAACTCAAGGATCAGCTCGTACAAGTGTTGCCAAGGATGACTACGACTCAGTATGCAAATAAGGCACAGCTAATATGCTGCCGCTTATTTGTTAATGAAGCCGCTCAATTAGTCGTAAGCTAGAACACTCTAAAGAGGAAATAAAATGCGTATCGTGCTACAAAGCGCTTACGAGTCCAACAGATATCTGCAAGAAGCCGAGTAAGAGTGGAACATACGAAACATACGACCTAGTGCAATGAATCTCAATGCTGTGAGATATTCGCGACCCACCTGTAGTAGTTAGACGCAGATCTCTGAGACCGCATTGCTTGACGACGCTCACGAGTTCGACTGCGCGATCTTTCAATCAGCCTGGTGGTTGAGTAAAGGGCGGAAGAAAAAGGTCCTAAAAAAGTTGAGCCAATAGGAAACCTCACGCTTATTGGGCTTGTGAACAGAACCTGTGTTGACGATGTCGTCGAACTGGGTAATATACGTGCTGTTTGGACGATAGGTGGAGCTGGCCGTGTATTCATTTCGATACTTGTGGGGATTTGAGACAAATGGGCTATAAGAGCATACAGTGGAGCAGTCAGTAGACGGAGGGGGAGGGGGACCAAAACACTTGAGAAGCTCCCAGAAGAATTTTCGGAAGTAGATAAAGGCACACCTTCATGCAAGAATGTTGCAAAAAATTTTTCAAGTAAAGGTGCGTGGCGTCAGCCACCCACAAAATTTTTTCGGATACTTCCCAAATTTTTGCGGCCCATGACCCAAAATAATAGAAAGAGAGGGCGTGGCGTCAGCCACGCCCCCAAAAATTTTTTTTCGCAAGACTAATTTGAATCTTTAAAAAATTTAAAAAATATTTTAATCATTTACAAGTATAAGCAAGTCGTTTGCACA